ACCTTAAGACTAACATATTGATACTAACACCCAAAAAACTTTAATTTTGATTTCATGGGGACTTTAATTTTTTTTACAAAGTTGTAAATAAAGATGGCTGGAGTGTGTTATATACACATTAATAACATACTATATCAGTTTTCCTACTTGAAAATTTTGTTTTTAATTCAAAGTGTTACTTTCTTTGCAAAGACTTGACTTGACTTTTTCGAATATGGTTCTATTTAGTATTACAGTATGATTTGCCAACCACAATATATTTAGAAAGGAAAATTCAAGACTATTTAGTCCTTAACACATTTACATTTATATCAAACAGACCTTTGAAAGTAAGTATAATCAAATCATGTGACCAATCTGGAAGCACATTCAACCTTTGTGTTTTGTTCACATCTTTTTTCCTGTTTCATGATCCCTTGGTGTATGTAGTACTTTTGTACTTTGGCTGGACGCAGCCAGGTGCCCTGCTGAAATTAAGCAGGTGGAGCGGAGTGTATTTAAGAGACTCACCCCTGAGAGGTTGAGGTGTGGTCCGAGAGATCGGATGACGTCTTCGGTGAGGTCTGACTGATCTGAGTCCCACACAAATCCGATGGTCACGATTTCTGGAGAGTTCATCAGCACGCGCCGCATCTTGATTCTCTGCCCACAGTTACTCTATTGAGGCGATGGAGATAAAACATAACTGTTTGCTATATTTTAACACCATGCAAGCTTTTTTCTATTTTAATGTTGAAAACCATACCAGAGTTATTACATTTTGAAATAGAAACTAATAAGATATTTAAGACCAATTCTTTTCCTAAAATACTAATTAATTTTAATTTTAAAGTTTTTACCAACCCACTAGGTTTTACCCATTTGTCAACAAGAAGTTATTAATCATTTAAAATATAATAAAATTAATTATTTAAAATTCACTTTTTCTTTTATATATTCTAATAAGCACAGGTCAGAATAAGTATGTTGTTTATATACTGTATATCTGTTCCACTGAATGATGATGGAACATGAATTCACCCATATTTTGACATTTGATTTATTTTTGCAAAAATTATTTGAAACATTAAAGGTAGGTACTTTACTTGCATATAATTTACTTTTTATGCATATCAAATCTTTTTATTTATTTACTGAACTTGATGCGGACACCAAAATGGAATGTCTCATCTTTGACCCATTTATAGTTTTATTGTGTGTCTAAGTTATTACTAAGTTATCTTGGTATATCAAGTTAAACTACATAAAAAATTAATTACAAATGTTGCCTTGGCAACTAGCTTAAAATAAGTTTAAGTATTTGTGTGTTTTACTTCAAGCAACAGTAACATGTTTTTACGGTTTTAGTTTTAGGTAACATTACTAACCCTGTTGTGACCAAACATTTTATTACTTCAGTGAGACACATGATTGTTGTGCTGCTTCTGGCAGTGACTGTAGTAGGATGTAACTTCCTACTTTGCCGGTTTAAAAATGCAGAATGTGTTGACATGTGAGAGGAACGTTCCGGTCTCAGGTTTCATCTCGCTCATCTCGTCACATGAAGGTGTTACACTAGCAGAATATCAGATAAGAAGTGTGTGTGTGTGTGTGTGTGTGTGTTTGTCCTTGAGTGTGCTTGATGACATCACATCGCAGAAAGAGCCATCATACTATATGCATGACGGTGTCCTCTCAGGGCTGAAAGTGCTAGTAAATTCAGCATTATTAATCAACATGAGCAACCACCTACCGGACAGTTACGCAGATCTCCAGCTGTGCTGGCGGCTTGAAGCAACTCCCCAAACCTTTCATCTCTCCTCTCCAAGAATTGCTGGCTGGAGTGCAGAGAAAGAGGACGAAAGAGAAACAGAGAAGCAGTTTTTGATCTTTTCAGGTCAATCTACCAACATAAACACGTCTTGTGTCTGGCATGATGGCGCTGGCTTACCAGAGGGCTGTGGTTGACACATAGTGCACAAGCTCAGTGAAGGGTAGCGGGTCGGACGACGCGCCACAGCTCCTACACACTGACTGCAGGGGAAAACACGAGCACACACAATCATGCATCACGAGCGATGACTGCTATATTATGTAAAGCCTCAATTACACTACTGTATGTGATGTAAGAGATGCCTCAGATGGGTTAAACCTGAGGGTGTAACCAATTAAAAAATTACTTTTACAGACAAAACAAGAATGAATCATTGTCAAATATTTAATTTGTACCATGGTTGTACCTTGATTAATTTATTATGCAATAGAAATACTTACTGGGCATGTATGACTTCAGAGGTACTCTGAAGAACCAAATAAATACTATAGTACATAAATATGGTATCAATACAATTATTTAAGTCTCTTATGCTCACCAAGGCTGCATTTATTTGATTAAATATACAGTAAAAAACAGTTACATTATGAAATATTACTATTAATTTTTTTCTATTTTAATAGAATCTGTGATTTTAAAGCTGAATTTTCAGCATCATTAGTGTTCAGTGTCACATGATCCTACAGAAATCATTCTAATATGCTGATTTGATGCTCGAGAAACATTTATTATTACTATCAATAATATTTTTAATGTCTTTACTGTCACTTTTGATCAATTTATTACATCCTTGTACTTTTTTCACACACACACACACACACACACACACACACACACACACACACACACACACACACACACACACACACACACACACACA